CCTTAATGTAAGATTTTGTGATTAATCAAACTGTTATCTATTAACTTTTTCCTTTTGAGTTTTCTCATTACAAAGTAGTGTTACTTTTATAATTTATAAAACTACAATTTGGGAAAGGAATGGGCAATCCCATTTATTGCCCCTCAAAACCTGCTGGGAAAAGAAAAACAAAACAAAACAAAACAACCAACCCACCCCATCCTACTGAAGGGTCAGCTATGGGTCAGTTCTGACTCAACAGCACACAACCACCATTAAGATTTTTTTTAAATTTTTTAATTTTATTTTATTATTTTTGTGTGCGTGTACCATCAAACCAGATCTGACTTGTACAGGAGGAGGTTGTCCCTCCTTACCCGGCAGAGCATCTGGTGGATTCAAACCATTAAGATTTTGAAAATACATATTCCACTCTTGCTCTTCAAGGAGCTGCAAAAGGCTATTTTTAATTTTATTTGTGAAGGAAAGATACCCCTAATAAGTGAAGCTCTTCTGAAAAATAAAAACAAAATAGGAACCATTCATACTCCTTGACTTTAAAACCTACTGCACAGCCATAGTAATTAAATCAGCATGATGGTACAATGATAGACATATAAACCAATGGAATAAAATCAAGAATCCAGAAATCAGCACATCTACCTCTGGTCAATTGATATTTGACAAGGAAATGGAACCCATTAAATGAGGAAACTACATCCTCTTTGACAAAACGTATTTTTAAACTGGATATCTAACTGCAGAAAATGAAAGCAGGATCCATATCTCACTCTATACATAAAAATAAACTCAAACTGCATCTGAAACCTAGGGGGGAAAACCACACCTCATAAAGAGTATTACAGAAAAAAAAATAGGAAAATAATTTAGAAGCCCTGATCTACGAATTGTGCTAAGATTGAGAAGATTGGGAATTCCAGAACACTTGATTATGCTCATGTGAAACATGTACCTAGACCAGGAAGCTATTGTACAAATAGAGCAAGGGAACACTACATGCTCCAAAATCAGTTGTGCATCAGGATGTATCCTTTCTCTACACTCTTTTAATCTGTATCTGAAACAGATGAGGCTGGACTTTATGAAGAAGAATGTGGCATCAGGATTGGAGGAAGACTCATCAACATCCTGCATGATGCAAATTATACAACCTTGCTCACTGAAACTGAGGACTTGAAGTGTTTGCGGCAGAAGGTCAAGGACTGCAGCCTTCAATATGAAGCTCAACATCAAGAAAACAAAGATCTCACCACTGGGCCAAAAGGCAGCATCATGACAGATAAAGAAAAGGTAGGGGTTAACAATTTCATCTTGCATAAATCCACAATCAACACCCTTGGCACCAGCAGTCCCAAAGTCAAAAGACAAGTTGTTTTAGGAAATTCTGCTGTCAGGGCCTCTGTGTAGTGCTAAAGAGTAATGATGTAATCTAGAGACAAATGCACACCTGACAAAGGACATGGTCTTTTCCTTTTTATAAATTTTTTTTTATTTTATTATTTGTGTGTGTGCGTGTACCGTCAAATCAGATCTGATTGGTACAGAAGGAAATTGTCCCTCCTTCCTCGGCAGAGAATCTGGTGGACTTGAACTGTGCGCCTCTGGGATTGCAGTGCAGCTTCCTGCCACTAGGCCACCAGAGCTCCCCGGACATGGTCTTTTCAATTGCTTGTTAATGCATCTGAGAGGTGGACAGTGACTAAGAGTGACAGAAGAAGAATTGATGCCTTTGAGTTGTGGTGCTGGATAAGAGATTGAACATGGACTGCCAAGAGAACAAACAGATATGTCCTGGAGAGAGGGTAACCAGATTGCTCCTAGGAGGCAGGGTTTTTGAAACTCTGTCTCACATATTTTAAGCAGGTTACCGGGAGAGGCCAGACCTTAGAGAAGTACATCATGCTTGGAAGGGTAGACGGTTAGTGCAGGACAGGAAGATCCTGGATGAGATGGATCAACACAGTGACTGTGGCAATGGGAACAGGTGTGTCAGAGACAGCATAGAGGAGGCTTCAGGGGTATTCTTCATAGAGTCACTATGAGTCATAATTGACTCAACAGCACATAAAAACATCAACAACAGTCTGTGATACGAGTTTGCTGTTGTTGTGTACCACAGAGTCATAACCAACCCATAGCTGACACCTTTGGTGGGTTTTCAGAGGCAGTTAATCACATGAGCGGAGATTGTCCACCATTCCCTCGCAGAGCAGTGTGTGATCTCACTGTGTGCCTTCAAGGTTGCAGTGCAGTTTCTTGCCACTAGAACACCAGAGCTTCCAGGCTAGCAAATAGCCAAAAATGAACTACCAGGAGAGGACAAAATTGATGAAGAGAACCTTATAAAAAGAAAAACTCTGTTTTCATAAACACCCCCCCCCCAAAAAAAAAAAACCAAACAACAAAACCAAAACCTTTCCCAATAGAGTGAAAAGAAAGGCCACAGACTGGGAAAAACTTGGGAACAACATTTCAGATAAGGGATTCATTAGCAAAATTTACAAAATATACAAATGCCTCCACAAGAAAAAGACTGACAACCCAATCACAAAATAGGAAAAAGAAATACTCTTCACTAGGGAAGATATCTAGATGGCCAACAAATACATAAGAAAATGCTCAAAACCACTAGCAATTACAGAAATGCAAATCAAAATGAGATACCATCTCACCTCAGCAGCAATAGCAAAGTTTAATAGGACAGCAAATAATAAATGTTGGAGAGGATGTGGAGAGATTGGAACTCTCATGCCCTGCTGGTGGGATTAGTAGCATAATAGTGCAACCACTATAGAAGGCACTTTGGCATTTCCTCAATATGACCCACTTCTAGGGCCATAATACCCCAAATAAATCAGAGCTGAGGCACAAAGATATGTACATGTACATTCATGACAGTGCTATTCACAATAACAAGAAGATAGAAACAACCCAAATGCCCATCAACAAATGAATGTATAGAGAAACTGTGGTACATTTATACAATGGACTAGTATGCAACACTACAGAGCAATGAAGAATTTGTAAAATACAATATGGGAGAGTCTAGAGGACATTATGTTGAGTGACATAACTCAGTTACAAAAGGACAAATGCTGCATAAGACCACTATTGTGAAAGCAGGAAGGTAACTAAGGGATGGGGTATAGGGGAGAGCAGATTTATAATATATGGATAATAAACACTGTAGAGGCCAGGACAAGGGAGGATCAACCTGGGAAGAATCTATATAAGAACAATTCAGCTATTGCAACTGGCAAATAGGATGAGGCAATGCATCCAACTTAAAATGGTAGGCAGAAAACGAGAAAGGGGGGTGAAAGATGGGTGAGGGAGGAAAATCACAAGGCCACAGGGACTAGTGAATGGATGGAAGGATGAGAGAATAGGCAAGGTACAATGGGGACTTGATAAGAAGGGATGATATAAGGCATGGATCAATAGTAACGGATTAGATAAAACACAATGTATACGAATGACTGAATAAAACAATGCACATAAATGAAACACAGTGCATATGAATGATTGTATGCAAACCAATTAAAGGAAAAAAAAAGAGCTGTTTCCATGAAAAAGAATTTTACCGAGGGAAGTCTGGATAAAATGACAAGACCTTTTGGATAAGAAAAATCAGTATTTTAAAGTTTTCAGTAATAATCCCATAGGGTCAGCGATAGGTTGGTTTCAACTTGATGGCAATGAGATATATGAAAACATCGTTGTGTGTCATCAAGTCGGAACTGATCCATGCTGATCTTCCAACAGGTTTTCAAAGGCAGTAAATGACACAGGAGGAGATTGTCTATCCTTCTCCTGCCAAGAAGCTGCGGGATCCCAACCACATACTTTTGCATTAGCAACACAATTCCTTACTACAAAGCCATCAGAGGACCCATATCAATATCAATATATGAGTACTTAAACACATATAACTCACATAAGCCATGCACTTAAGACAAAAATGGAAATGGTAAGTAAAAATGAAAGTATTTTAAACTCTTAGTAGGAACAATTAAGTGAAAAAATTAAAAAAAAAATTAAACATACCACTCAGCTAACAAATTGACAAAATGAATTTTTGATTCTAGAATTGTTTGAATTAAAATCAATTGATGTTGAATCAATCTTGACCCATGACAACTTCATACATGTCAGAGTAGAATGAAGTTCAATAGATTTTCCCTGGCTGTGCCCTTTTAGAAGTAGCTCACCATGTCTCTTTGGAGGCAACCAGGGTTGGGTTGGAATCAGGAGGCTTTTTTTGATCAGAAATCCAGTTTTTAATCATTTGAACTACCTAAGAAGCTTTGTTTATAACATGTATGTATGTATATATTATTCAAATAAGGCACTGATAAGTTTGGTAATCTCTATCATTATTTATTTATTTAGTAGGAAATAGAAGCTGGAGTTTAGAAAACCAGTGAGGAGCATAAGATCTCCAGATGAGAAGATATGGGACCAGAATAGGAATGAGAAGAATACACTCAAGAAATATTTCTAGGTAAGAGAGAAAAGGAGCTAATGACAGATTTGAGCGGTAAGGTGAGTGATGGAGAGGATATAATAAGAACATTTTACATTAAAAAAATTTCATTAAAATCAGCTATAGACAGGGGGAAGAACTTCAGCTGTGATCTCACTGAAGGAAGTCCCTCTCTTCTTTATTCATCTCCTTGTAGCAGCAGCAACAATTGCCTCCATAACATCCTCCCGTCAGTTCCCTCCTCTGAAGCTTTTTGCCCATATCATCCATTAAGCCACATCCACAAATTTTATCTATCGTCTTTGTATATCTTTATCGTAATATCTCAATATTCAATTAATAATCTCGAGCTGCCCCTTACAGTGTTTCCTCTCCATTACTAGAAAGAAAAAAGAGTGAGAGAATAAGGAATGGGGGGTGGGGTGGGAAGGAAGGCAGGAAGAAGGGTGAGCCTCTGACTTTCTCTGTGCTTAGTCAGTCACAGGATAGAAATCACCTTATGTGCTTTTTTATCTTAGTTCCAGGACTTGGGTGGTTCTAGGCTGAGGGGAATCATGGGTGGAGGTGGAGGGCAGGATAGATGAGCTGGAGGAGTTGGATGCAAGGTCGGGTACCAATCATCAGACTGATGTGGCGGAGCAAAGGGAGTGTTGGCTGGGGCAGGAAGGACCTGGTGATAGGGGTGAGGGAAGCAGGCAACTGGTGGAGGTGGTGTTGAGTAGGAATAGGGGCAAGCAGAGGACTCAGGCAAGAAGCCAGAGAAGGTGGCAGGAGGTAGATGGGCTACCGGCTGAAGAAGTGATCGCTCTTGCTTTCGCTGCTTAGCTCTGCGATTCTGGAACCAGACCTGTGGAAAGAGACCACATCACAGCATCTTTTTCAAAAAAGGAAGCACTATCACATGCACCCTCTTCTCCAATGAAACAATATATATGAACAAGAGGTGAACTTCCACTAGGCCAGAGAAAATAAAACATGTACAGAAGATTTGATTGAAGAAACTCTTTACCTCATCCTTGCTCTAAACATGTCTGACTTTCACAACTTTGGGTGAGCAGGAATTGTCAATTTCAAACAAGAAAGGAATAAACAATACAGTGACATTTTCTCTCCTCAGAATGTTTTCTCAAAAATTAATTATTTGAGGTTAGAGTTTAATTGCTATGACAAGGCCAGATTTAGGATCAGATTTTTAAGATTTGTAAGGTTATATTTAAGGCTAACTTTAACATTAGCAGCTGGTTCAGTTTCAACGCTATAGTCAGGGACTATACATTTGCAATATATATTTACAATTATATACACATGTGAACAGTTAGGATTGACTTGTTACAATTCAGATCACTATCATGTGTTGAAAAATTCAAGTGAGAACAGGTTAGAGCTGAGGTTTAACTCAGTGACATTTAAGCTTCAGGTGAGGTTACATTAGAGGTTAGACGGAGCTTTCATCCTGGTAGATGTCTAGGTTAGTGTTATAATAATATTCATGGACGTATATGCACAGGTAATCCCTAAACCTTGAGGCTGCATTCTTCTTAGAGAGAGGGAGCAGTCTGAGGAATCACCTGGATCCTGGCTTCACTGAGGCCTGTGACCTGGGCCAGACCCTCACGGGCCCAGATGTCAGGGTACTGATTCCTCCCAAAAGCTGACTCCAGCTGCTCCAACTGTCCTGGGCTGAAGATGGTGCGATGTCGGCGCCGGGAGTGTGGACAAACCTTCTGTGTGCCTTGCTGGGAAAGCTTTGGTCTCCCCACTCCCACACTGGAGAGCCTCTTGCAGAGCCGAGTGCTCCTATCTGAGGAGGGAGAGGTGGGGAGAGAAATGGTGCTGGAGTGGGACCACTCGTTTGGCTCCAGCTCTACATATACTGGTCCCCCAGATTCTTCCTAGCCCCCCTCAATGCGGCTCCACTTCCACATACTCGTCTTTTATCTTTCATAAACATCATTTCTGGCCCCAGTTCATGCTTCACTTCTGAGTACTGTAGCTTGCTCTCTACACAGGCTCCACTCTTCATATCCACTCCACGGACTGATACTCATACCTATGTCTCCTTCACTATCCTGTTGTATGCCCACCCCCTATTACACTCTGCCATGTAAAACAGGCACCTCATCTCTCCTTTGCCTTTCTGAGGACATACACTCCTCACCTAGATCTCAGCCTGTGAATCTCCTGTTTGCTGTCATGATCTAACCAGCTTTCCAGATCTCTATATAAGATAACTGTTATGTGTTCGCTACTCTGAGTCCACATTCAACATTTACTATTCTGCTCTCATCTTGACACACTCCTCACCTAGGAAGAAGGTGAGACATTCACCCCTGTTCCACTCAGACACACCCTTGCCTTCAGGTACACTTCATCTTCTCCCCATATCTTTGTCTTGGCCCCTCCACCAGCTTGCAGGAACCTGAGCTCGTGGGAAAGGCTTGTCTCTCCTCCCTACAGGCTCACTAAGCCTCCACACTAATTAGTCTGAGAGCCTGCGAAGAGAGAACAGGGAGGGAAAGGAAACACCTGGAAGGCACAGACTCAGGAAAGATGTCTGGTGCTAAGACACTTATCCCCATGGGGACCAAGGGGTTTGCTCCCAAAGCTTGATGCCTACCTTGAGGACACATTTGCCAACCCAATAGCCCTTTGTACTCCCTGGAGCTGGAGGCTTGGTCCCTCCAGTTCCTTCTTTCAAAGAAGGCAATATCGTGCATAGAAGTTGGGAATGAGGAGACTGAAATTTCAGCTCTACTCCTGCCCCAACCTGAGGTATGCTATTTAGTGGATAACACAATACTGGATTTCCAATTCTCTAATCTAGAAATGAAATAATTTATACTGACAGTCCTCTAACAGTATTCAAAGTTTTAACATTCTAGAATTCTATTTTTTCATTTCTTTTCTTAAGCCTCCTCATGGTGACTCCTTGCTGCTCTCACCCCTCATTGCTACTCATACCACATACTCAGCGATTCACTCACCCACAGTGGAGGTCTGAGTGTCAGCTTCTGGATATCTTTCAGGCAAAAGGCTGCTGTGAACTCTTCCCTTTTTCTGCTTACTCTGTTGATTCCTCCTCTCTTCTTCCATGGCTAACAATGAAGACCAAAGACTTCTTGTCTCCTGTGTGGTGAATCTGAGTTCAAGTTAGTCTTTCTGTTTCTGTCATTCCCTTTACTCTATGCCTGCTATCTTACTCCTTATTCCTCTGTATAGATATGGCTATAGTAAATATAGAGATACAGGTTTGTCTTTTTCACTGCCTCTCCTCTTTGACTCTAATGTCTCATTCTTTCACGCAAGTGTATTGCATTTTCTCTTGCCTTTACCATGGGCCTCTGTCTTTAGTTTTCTCACTCTGTCCCTTCTCTCTGCAAGGACACTGCTCTTGCTCTTTTCTCTCAGCTGCCTTCTTTGCTGCTGGCTGTCCCACACTCACCACTTCACCACGCTCTCTCTGAGTCTTGGAGGAGTGACCTCCTCCTCGCCCCCTGTGGGTCCATCCAATCATTACCTGGTCATTAAAGCCCCATCCTCAGTGGAGGATCACAAGCCGGATGAAGGAAAGTGCTCTGTTGGAGGGTCCAGGGATTGGGGCCAAAGGCTCATATTCCCAGAAACCAATTCTTTTGTCCTTTTAAATCCCCTCCTGGGAGCAGGCAGGGTAAGGAAGAGAAAATACATTCCTCCTGTGACCCTTCTTCAGAGCCCCACTGGTGGGGGAGAAGTGAAAACGGGGTGCAAGTCAGAAGCAAGGTGCACATGTCATCTGAGATCTCAGCTTGCAGCTGATAATCAAAGACCTATTTCTAGGGGAAAAAAAAACCCAACCCACCCAAAAAATAGTCATAAGTACATTCTGACCCTTCTTGGATACACTGTTATCCCAGGATACATTAGCCACTCCCTCAAGACAACCTGAACCAATCCAAAGATGAGTCTGTGGGACACCATAGTACTTTCTGATTTCCTCCCTGCCTCTAAAACCACATCCTTATTCACTCAGAACACTTTAAAAAATTTTTTTTAAAGTGAATTTGAATGAAAGTTTACAGAGACTTAGGAGAACATTTTTAACACTATGACTCATGCAGACCTTCAGAAATCCCTGACCTTGACAGGCATCTGTTTCCCAGGTACCTCCTGACTGGTAGGCCTTCAGGAACCTACAGAAAGTGGATGTTCCTGTGTCTAATATTCTGATTCTTCAAGGAAGCCTTGACACACTCAGAATCCATAGCCAATCAAGACAATCTGACCCCCAGAGTTAGTACTTTGCCTTCTGAGATCACATAGACCCAGTAAATATATTTTGACATTCCCAGAACACTCTGAAGCCAGCAGCTCGGAGTTCAGCTGCAGCAGCCTCAGCGGCTGAAGTTCGGGGTGGGGGTGGGGGGTGTCAGTGTCACAGTGTTTAGCATCACAGCAACCATGAGTTACCTCTGCACAGTAATGCACAGACCAGTAATACATCACTTACAAGAATGTTTGATAAAAAACAACTTAAACCAGGCCCTCAGGCCTATGGCCCTCGGGCCCTAATGGGTTTATAAATAGGAAGTCCTATCACATCACCTCCCTTCCCTTGGCGAATCAACATTATATCCTACTGCTCACCAATCCCAGCTAACATCTTCTGTAGAACCAGCTCCTATAGATGACTTTCAAGCTGGTTTCCAGGGCCATACTGCTGACCAAAAAGGATTTTTAAATAGGAGGCCTTATCACATCACCTCACTTCCCTTTGCAAATCAACATTCCACCCTACTGCTCATCAATCCCAGCCAACAGCTTCTGTAGAACCAGAAAACAACTCAACAGCAACTGCTTTGACTTAAAAAAAAATAAATGAAAAATTTATTTATTTATTGAATTTTTTTAGATTTTGATGAAAGTTATTAATGAACTTGGATTTCCATTCATTCATTGAAACAAAGCATGGCTTTGTTTTGTTTTAACCTCAGTCTCAGAGGCTTCCCAGATTCTCCAGGACCCGATAATACAATAATTTTAGAAATGTATTTCAAACCCCCAGGGAACACTGACAGACTTCCCAAGATAACACTGCAACCTCTGGAAATGTCCCATCACTTTAAGGATAGGAGGAAGGTAGGAGAGAATATAAAGTAGTAATGTGATAGAAAAATGAATGCTGAATATTGCTGCTGCTTAATGTGATCTTGGGATTTGTGGTATGTTGGAGAAATTAATAATTTCTTGACATGTCCATGGAAGATCAGAGTGTTTAAGAGAGTTAGAACATTATAAACAGACAAGATGGCCTGTGGTAAGGAGTTGCACTGCCACCCCAAAGGCAGAAAATTTGAGTCTATCTGCTGCTTCAAGGGAGAAAGATGGGCAGTCTCCTCCCTTGTGATCTGAAAACCTGATGTAGAGTCAGTCATAAAGTGGTTCTCACTAGAAGGCAATGAGTATGTGAATGTGAAAGAGTTCCTTTATGTGATGTAACAATTTTGTATATTGGCATTAGTGGCAATTATGTGATTACATGAATCTCTGCATGTTGCAGATGGAGGGCAAAGTATATTAACAATTATTAAAAATGGGAGAGCACACCAAGAATGTATAAGTAAAAAGAGGTAAAGCAGGAGGCAGTTTTCAAACAACTGAAACGAACTGAAGCACTAGTCCCAGCTTCCCTGTGTCTTTATTGAAAACTGCTAGGGAGAAAATAACAAAGAGAATTCCATGCTAATGAAGTTAAGCTTTCCATTGAAAGCCTTATGCCTGACTCAGGAGAAAGGGGTGAGTAAACACAATACAAGAATCCCAGCCCAAGGCCTGTCTTAGTGCCCACCCTTGTAAACATTCAAGGATTACCTTAGTGCTTCAAGGTGTATTTCAGCTTGTATCTGCCTCCTTCATATCCTGATACAGCATTTGGTTTATTATAAATATTAAGTATGAAATTTGGTTTCTCATATCTGCATAAAATTGATTACCTTGAACTATACATACAGAAAAATGACAACATATGAAAATTGATAAACTCACTATGTCCTACAAGAAAAATAAAATATTGAATAGTATTGTACCAATGCCAATTTTATGGGTTGTCACTGTTGGCAAAAGCTGAATGTACTTAATGTCTTTACAACTTGATTCTGAATCTGCAATAATTAAATAGCAAAAAAAAATTAAATATATTCTTCTCTTCTAAGACAATCTTTACTTTTCCAGACTCCAAGATCTACTGGTCTAGGCTGAAGCCACAAGGACAATTCGATCCAGCAGGACATTGATTCTATACAAACAAGCCAAAGAAATAAAAAAAAAAAGTCCTAGAGTAGTTTTTTTACATTTTGAATATCCTAAATATTTAGGAAACTCTGGATCTTCCAGTGTACTTGAGCCCATACAACAAAGGAACTTTCTCTGATCCCCAAAGATTCTAATCATCAGGACATCAGAACGTCCAAAACAATTTGAACCCTTGGTATGCTGTTATCCTATAAGGATCTTCCTGACACTGAACTGTTGGAGTAATCTGAGCCACAAGGACGTGATGGCCTACAAGTACATTCTTAGAATATCATGACCATCCAAGACAAAAAGACACCCCAGAACAAGACAACCTTCTTAATATTCTCATTGAATTCCTACCATCTTATCAAGCAGACTGACAATATAAACTTCTGCATATTCCTTCCATCATCTTTTGGTATTCCCAGCATCATGCAAGATTTTGCCCTTAGAATACTTCACTATCACAACTTGAGGCTTAAATTTGTTCTTTAAACTGGAGAAATGTGTAATGGATTATTGCATTTGTTTTTCTAACACTAGCTCTTTGAGTATTTTGCTTTAATACTTTGCTTTGTCTTCTTGAGCTATCCTTTGAAATCTTCCATTCAGCATGCTTCCCCCTTTATCTTGGCTTCTTTCCATTCTAGTGCAAGTTTCACAGTCTCTTCTTGACATTCATTTTGATATTTTCTTTTTTTTCTGTTTTTATAATGACTTTTTGCTTTTTTCATGGATGATATCCTTGATCCTATCCCACAACTCTTCTGCTCTTTGGTTATTAGTGTCCAGTGCATCCAAGGGCACTATGTACCATTAGTGTTCTCCAGGTATAGTTGTTGAGCTGTTGAATACCAGTGAGTTGGAACTAATGCATAGCCAACCCTCCACTGGATTTTCAGAGGCTGTTAATCACATGAGAGGAGATTGCTCATCCTTCTCCCATGGAGCTGCTTGTGGATTTGAACTGTGTGCCTTCAGATTTGCAATACAGTTTCTTACCAATAGGCCACCAGCACTCCCTCCAGGTATAATTGTTATTGATTGCCGTCGAGTCAAGCACAGCACTTAGTGATCCTATGAACCAAAGGCTTGAAGCCTTTCTATAACTTTCATCATTTCTCAAAGTTCATAGAGTTTCCAGAAGCATGTTGTTTGGGAAGTGGATGCCACTACTGATTCCAGGTATAGTAGTGCATCCAAAAATAGTTTCTGGAGCCAGGTTGCTATCTTGAGTTTATTACTCTGTATCTCTGTCAGTTACTCCCTCTTCTCTCGTTTCTAACCCTCTTAGAATGATTTCATCTGTGTCAACAACTTTCTTGTACTTGGAAACACTAGATAGAACTTTGAAACTCTTTTGGAGGGCCACTTTATGAAATTGCAAAACAGGAACAAAAGTGCTAAATAAGACAGTACTAAATCATGGTAAGGATACTTCTTGACCCTTGTTCTGTCTTATCTAGGAACATGTAAGTTGGATAACTAAAAATTTTCCACTACTCTGTGCATATGAGTGATCTCAAAGGTGCTATATTAATTTAGGATTACAAAAACATTTTAACAAATAGAAAAATTTATAAATATGAACTCTGCAAATAATAAAGATAATGATAGTCTCCTCACAAAAATGAGAATGTTATTGTATGCCATCAAGTTGGAACCTACGCACAGCTGACTTTCCAGTAGGTATTTAGAAGCAGTAAATCTCATGGGATTCTGTCTATCCTTCTCCCACGGATCAGCTGGTAGATTCGAACCATGTGCTTTTGGGATTGCAGCACAACTTCTTACCACTAGGCCACTAGAGTTCCCTAAGATGG